CGTGCAGCTGAAGGTACCTAACGCTATGTAGGGATGAACAGGTCGTCTCTCATCGGCCAGAATAGCCTTTCTAGTGGGTATCTACGGTCACACGCACCGCCCTCTCTGACGAGGTACGTAGGGACCCGTACATACGTGGTGTACTGCAAGTCGAGATATCACTTCTTGCGCATACGCAATGTCAATCCTCAAGTGTCAATCGCGCATAGTTTATTATAACATTGCTACAATACAGTACGGGAAGCTATAAAAGTGTACACGGAACGGGGTCGTATGTATCTCTCAACAAGAGCGACGTCACTGTCATGGGAATAACGCCCAGACAAGGTTCTCTAGGCTTGTCAGGTCCCCCTTCCCTCCAAGTCCCCAGAATCTCAAATGCCCAGCCTGCAAGACGGGTGCTGGCGAGACGTCCGGGCGCCTTGGCAACGATACGCCAAGCGAGCCGCATCTTGAGGCGGAAACGGGTGAGCGATAGATTTCGGACTACATACATATATAGATCGCATTACCCAACCCGTGTATTGCGGACACGGCACGGACTGCGACGATGGTAGATTATGAGATGGAAAACTTTGCTGGAACAGCCCTATTGCCCATCCTATGTCCATAGTACCGCGAGTTCTCGCCTTTCGTTCTACATACTTTACCTGCACAATTCCATCCTGGACGCACTAGATAGATGCGTGTGAGATCTTCGGCCCATAGCTAAGCGTGGCAAAGGAGCGGCCTGGCGTTGGGCGAGTGATAAAACGGGTGACCCTAGTGAGTTAATGTGTGAAGTGTGACTTATTTCCCGTGTCGTGGTAGTGTATGTATATTCCACGGCCTCGAAGCTGAGTCGACGGAACATCCCGCCCAAAGTCTTTGATACTTCCATGAGACTTTGTCGTCACAAACCCTCATACCGTGCTAGCCATACCTATTACCTTATATCCAACCTATTCTGTTACCCTAACCGGCGACGAGGCCTTTTTTTTTTCTCTCTCTCTCTTGATGCCCCCTCCCTTACTGATTGAGTTATAATAATAACCATCCGAAGTGGTTGGGTTTGAGCTATAATAACTGACTATCTACATAGATAAATACCCTTGAAATGTCTTTCCCCCCTTCCTCCGTCCCTTTTCTTCTTGCGGCGAGGAAGGATGAGGAAGGATCTGGCGAGAGGGTGTGGTGCGTGTATGTATGATGGACGTTTGAGTGCGTGGGTGCTGCCCTACGCCGATGTGCCACAGCGAAGAGGGAAAAAAAAGACTACGTCTTTTCTGTTTCGAGCTGGACGCATCGGGGCTTTGTTAGTTTACATACAATACAGGGGGCTCTTTTTCTTTTTGCTTCCCACTCGTCTGGTTCCCGTCTCCGACGCCGCATGTCATTGCCCGAATCCATGCCCATGTCATGTCACCTTTGCCAAACTCCCATGTATGTATGTAGGGCTGCTACGGTTGCCGCCACTTAGGTAGATGGATAGATAGGTAGGTAGATAGCATAGATTGGTTTATATTATACATGGAATAGATATAGTTTACATACGCACATACACACACACACACATACGCACACATGCATTAGGGGGGATGTTAGGTATGCCGTTATAGGTACATGCAACGCGTAGGGATGTTTGCATTGCGTCGTTAATGCAGCCCGTCGTACATGGGGCCGGCAGCCATATACCGGTAGACTATAAGTCACATACGTTATCTACATACATACATAAGGTAGTAGGTAAGGTGTGGTAGCAAGTATACCACTATACTACGTAGGTGGTAGTGCTTAATGCCTGCCTGCCGAGTAACCCTTCGATGCCTTGCATGCCATGGAAAGGAAGAAAAAAAAAGAAAAAAAGCTTGTTCCATCTTGGCTATCTGTTCCGTAGCGTTGGACCAGGCTTTTTTTTACCTTGCAGTTGAATTGTCTCGGACAGGGAGATGATCTGCGAAGGTTTCGAAGGTCGGAGGGAAGGGGTGGGTGTGTGGGCTTTAGAAATGAAGTTCCCCTTCCCTTCCCTTCGGTATTACGGTTGGTTTTCTTACGAATGGGAACTAGACGTGCGGTTAGTGATGGCTTTGGCTTTGAGTTCTTCCCCTTGTTGTCGGCGATATGATATCTGATCGCATATTTTTTTGATTCGGTAGATGAGAAGGAGGGATGGGATGGGATGGGATGGGATGGGGAATGATTTCTGGCGTAGACATGTGATTGCGTTGCGTACGTGGGGTTACTGCGGATTCGTTCTCCTCGGGATTCTTTTGGAAGACGCCACGGCGAGTACTCGGCATGGATATGCCGATGCCGATGTGAATATCTTCGAAGCGGCCAGTCAACCGGATATTATTCGGTGTGATGAGTATGCTATTTTGGTTAAATTCTGGGTGGATAGAAGATGAGAGAGAGAGATGGCTAGGTATTACTCAGCAACTTGTAAGGTGAGGTTATCATGGCCTCATTACATGCCTCTCATCCAGCAGGTGAGTCAGGCGAGTGCTGTGAGCGAGACGCCCGTATGAGTTGGGGGTCTCGTAGGCCGACTTAACCCGGCGTTCGGGTGATGACGGATTTCCCGGAGGTGTGTCCGGTTCATCCCGGCTTGGAGCATCGTTCCGAGACCTCCCGGGGCTATCCCCCTGAGACGGCGGCCGAGAGGATGTCATTGGTACCGGCCCATGTTGACTTGCGGATACGCGGTACGGCGCGTTATATACTTGGATCAGATGCTCCTTTCCCGTGCTCCGGCTGTGTTACGCCAGACGGAAGCGTCCTGTTATAACCTCATACCAAAGTTGGCATTTTATTTTGCCATTAGACCGGACTCTCTCGCTTTGTTGACCATTGTCCGAAGCATTCATAGAATTCGCAAGCTCACTATATAAGGACTGTAAATAGGAATAGAGAGCGCAGTATCTAGTTCTACACAAGCTTCTTATTTTTAACTGTAACTGTTTTGTATATGACACATACCTACCTCACCTGTGCTTGTAAACTAATGCCGATCTACTTCCGGAGCAAATATCAGGGGTAGAGTTGTAACGCTATCGTTTATTTTTACTTTTTATCTTGTCATCGACTTATGGCTTGGGATGATCTTGTGTCTTTTTCTTATGCATACAGCGAGAGCTTGCATGCGTAATCCATATTCTTCTGTTTACCCCTTTTGAAAGACCTCAAGTGACGCTGGTTGTTAGGTGTAAGCTCTCAGCGGTATAAAACATAGGAAACAGTCATAAAAGCAAGCTTACAACTGCACATTTTCTTACTTGAATACATAGGAAACGTCCACTAAGATATTCTCAAAATAAGAGCGATACGCCATACTTCCATTAAATGGTCTTTGCAGATCTTCTATACGCTTTCGATCGAGTTGCAACGCCCCTCGAAAAGGGAACGGGTTGAATTTGATGTAAGAATACGTTATAGTGTATATATACCACACCCAGATACCCAAGTAAATCACCCGGACTGCCGTGGAAGTTTAAAACATAAAGTAACACTACTATAGATGCCCACTTGGTACAGATATAGCATAGATAATATCTCTAAAAGTTCCAATTCCGTGTTCGGCGAATTGGAATAGATCCATCCGGCGTACAAACGGGGAAAACATGGTTTTCTAGTTTATTTCCTTCGCTACCTGTTGTGTAAGGCGCAAGACTTTGCCGATAAGTGACAGTAATACAGTTTATAGGCTGTCCTACGACTTGAGGAGCACCAATACGATCCCATAGCTCAATAGTCAGAGCAGACTATACCGTATCTATAGCGTGTAGAGGGACTGTGATAGACATTATATGTCCCTATAGTTATGTAGAATTACAAACCCCAAAGCCAAGACCCCTTTTTGTTTCTTAAACCAGCAGTCTTGTGTGCTACTCGTCATAGGTCTAGACCCGTCTCCTTGATTGATAGGACCGGCACCCGTACCAGCACCCGCTGCGTGGTGGATCTCGCAAGACCTCATCTATGCAATATATTAGATACTCTATCGGACTACTTGGGATATAGGTGGATAAACTAACTTAAAGTCAACTTTAAGAGATCTACTTGAAGGCGTTCTATCTTTTGACACAATGCCTTTTGTTTCTGTAGTAGCTTCTACTTGACGTTAGCACACACGTCTTAGTTGAACCTTATATTTCCCTTGGAGGTACCTTCATCTTCGCCTCGCTAAGGGGTGGAGGACTAGACTTCTTCGGGGTGCGGCCTCCGTCACCGCCGGGGGCATTAGCAGATGCGAGATTCATCTTCGTATGTCCGATGTCCGTGCTAGCAATGCAATGATTAGTATATAGTGATATTGACTGTATGGTGATATATGGTCTTAAACGCTTAATGATAGTTATAACGTGTTAAGAAAAGAGGAATTGGTAGTATTAGAAGCAAAATCCGTATGTTAGATGGTAACTGGATAGCAATGAGCCCATAGAGCTGGTGAGTGGCCAGGGTGCGTTGGCAGTATGAACACATATACCTACTTCATTTTGAGTGACCTGGAAGAAAAGAAAGAAAAGAAAAGAAAATTTCAGAACAGAAGAGCTTCACACAGTTTTATACAGGCCTAAGCCTTAAGTTTAATTTAGTAGGTATGTGGTTACCTGTAAGGAAGTAGCTACATACTAATGTCGACGAGAAGGTCTTTCCTGCTTGATCTTAAGGCAAGTGCCAGGCGTACTGGTCGCCTACGTAAGTTGAACAAGCTGTATAGGTAGTGTCCACCTTCCTACTTGATTATACAGGAGTCTTCCCTACATGTAGCAGGTACCTGGCATCTAGATACATATGTGTATACAAGTGCATATGTGGGTATTCTAGTATCCTACCCGAGTCTAAGGTAGGCAGGGAATAGGGAAAAGTTATAAGCAACCTCATATTTCAAACATGAGGAACCTTACCTGTTCATATACCTATGAGCAAAAGCGAGTCACAACTAGGAAGTTAGTTAATTTGAGGGTTCTATGATCAGCTCTCGGCATTTTTAGGAAGAATTAAAACTCAAAAAGTCATAAGGTCCCATAGCTCAGTTGGTTAGAGCGTCGTACTAATATTTCTTCTGATGGAAATGTTCAGTAAATGCGAAGGCCGGCGGTTCGAGCCCGCCTGGGACCATTTCTTTTTCATAATTTTTTATGTTCTTCTTGAGTTATTTAATCTACTTTGACATTTTTGTGGTGAATATTAGGTAATAATATATCTTTTGGTAGAAAGTCTAAGGTCGTCAGTCCTATTTCTAGCTAGTAGCAACTACTAGTACGCTCCCACAACATCCCGTCCTTGTCATTATCCCCTTCCTTCCATGGCATTATTGTTTTTTAACTTAATCGACGAGAGACTGAAATGTATATATATATATATATGATATGTTATTTTATATATAGACCTTGAGTAAATCTTCTGTCCGACATGACCAAATACCGTGAAGTCTTAAGGGGGGTATTATTGGATAGGGATAGGTACTGTTCGCCCTAGAGCAATAGTTATATAACAAATGCGAAGACGCCATGTTGACTCTTAAGAGAGATCTACATAATCTTTCGGTGGTGCTATTCACTCAAGGCTATATAAATAAAGGCCATCATCCATCATCCATGATGGTTCTCGATTTTACGTACCGTGTTAATAAAGTAGCATTTATTTCCTCATCGTCAACACTGCCCAGCGAATATCAGGAATATTTCAGAACTCGCCGTTGTATTATTATATTAGGATATGTGATGAATGATGGGATCAATAGGATTTAGTATGTCTAGTTCAAAGGGAGTTATTTGTATATGTTGCGTTATATTATATAGGTGCCAACGATTCATAAAGTATGCGCGCACACATTCGCTAAGCCCGACTCGACTGCAACTCGCCTGGGGTTGAGTCTATCTTAAATACCCGACATCTTAGAGACACGCACATTAATCGATATGGATGAAGGTGGTATATATGGCCCTGTGTGTATGTAGTATGTATGTATAATCGTGAATTGTCAAGGAAGCTGTAAGTTGTGCGTGTAACTTGCTGGTAGTTCATTCCCATACGCTTGCCTCATTTTGGGGCTCTTGGTATGTATGATTCCTTCGGGGCGGATTTCCTTTTTTATATATGCTCTATCTAAACTGGACTTTGAGAATATGATGACAGTGGATGAATTAAATTAGTCTTATTGGTGAAAACGGATGTGTTAGCTGGTCATCTAGGCGTAGTGACTGTATCTATCTACTTTTGAGAAGAACGATCTATCCTCTCTCCCCAAGGCGTTGGAGCCTCAGGTATTGAAGTGTGTGCGTAGCTCCCGATCAGCAGCACACAGGGGGATTAAGCTTCCGCGTTGCATAAACATAGCCTGTCGAAATATTGAATGGGAAATCGATAAACCCCTTATTTGGATACTCATACCGGTACATAACTGAGTAAGTAAACTCCTTATATTAACAGGTAATTAACCCCTATTCAGAGAGACCTCCCTCACATCCTCCCCCCCCTTTCACATCTTCTTCCCTCCTCCTCAAACCCTCCGCCAACATCCCCACCGCCTCTCTCCCCCAACTCGCCGCCCCACCAACCCGTCCGTTAGCAGCTTCTTCCTGGAAACTCACTCTCCCGCACCACCAATCCAACCATCTCTCCGCTCGCGCCCCATCCTCCTTTTCTGCAGCTAATAACCCGACGCTCACGTCGACGAGATCAGGGCGGAAGACATCGTGCCAGAAGACAGAGGCCCCACAGCGCGCGCAGAACTCGCGGAAGACGCCTGGCGAGCTCTCGTAGCCGCGGAGGGGGGAGTAGGTCTGTTGGAGGGTGGGGAAGTCCAGTGGAACAGCGTCTTGAGAGGGCGATGTACTTGTCTGAGCAGGTGAAGATGAGGAGGGAGAAGAAGAAGAAGAAGAAGAAGAAGAAGAAGAAGAAGAAGAAGAAGAAGAAGAAGAAGAAGAAGAAGAAGAAGAAGAAGAAGAAGAAACTGGAGGGAGAAAGAAGATATTACTCCGGGGCACGAACGCCCACGTCTGGATCTCGAAGCCGGAAGCTAGTCTGCAGGAGCGACATGCACACGTCCCGGCCAAGTACCTTGTTAGATTCGGATTATCCTGGCTCTGCGGGCGGAGCCACCATTTCTCGTCGTGCGGGTTAGTAATGACGTCTTGGGGCGAGGTAGCGAATGGGACTGTGAGGTCTGGGAAGCCGGACCGCGGGAGGCGACTTGAAGCGTCAGGGCGGGTGATGAAGAAGCGGACTGTTTTGCAGTGGCAGTGAGCTTCGAGGGTAGCATTGCTATCTTTATCTTCGCCGTGGTCGATTTGGCTGTTGGTGGATGGAAAGGTCTCCTCGGCGAGCTTGATAAAAGGAGATAGACCGCCGTCTTTGGTGCTGTCTATATTGACATGCCGAGAATATCTCAGAAGCGGCTCATCCTTCTCATCATCTACTTTATCCGTTCCAATTGGTTCGATGATTATACCAGTGGCCACCTCCCAAGACCCCCTGGTTGGATCGTCACTATCGGCAGAACGTCGGAATACATGACAACCACATGTGCCGCAGAAGTAACGTCGGGATGCAGTGATGGATGGCTGTGTAGACTTGTCCGGATATGTCACAAGACTACCAAGAGATAGCGGCTCCTGAATAGGCGCGTACGAGACACATAGCAGACCAGACGTATGGCGGCAGTCGTAGCAATGGCACAAATCAACACCCAGAGGACCGGACCCTGATTCAGTGCTGCGTAATACCACAGTCTGCTTTACAGCGCCGCAGAGGCAGGAAATTGAGACCTCGCCACTCTGTGACATCGAGGGCATGAGTGAAGTGCGGCTTTAACGGATTGATCTTGAGAGTGAGACCTGAAAGAAGCTATTTAAACAGTTAAGTTAATCTATGCAGTCCTTGCACATTCGTAATCTTACCTCGCTGTAAACTACGTCTGAAGTTATGGACAACAAATATAAGTAGTCGACCCTGGCATCGAATGAGATATTCTCTCTGTAAAAAGCTTTACGTGTTGTACGGAACTGTGAGGGGGATGGGGTGTACTGCTAGTTAAGAGAACGAGTCTGATGAGCGATAGTCGGAGCAAGCCTCACTTATCATCTGGATGCCTAGACGGAGCCTGCAGCGATTGGGAACACCCAAGTTGCGCATCCGCCTCTTAGCATAACGGAGCCTCGGCCCGTCAAAGCCAGACGTCGTAGTTGGAGATTGGAGATATGACAGACAGCCCACCCGCTATGAATGATGACGACGACGACCTTCACACTGACACTGCGGAAAGATTACGACAGCCATTTGATATAAAGCACATGGGAACATATCAAAATTTTCAGATTAAAGGAAATAGGCTGGGATCAGCAAGTATAACTGACATAGCTCTAAGTTGCCTTTGCAGGACGATCACTCCAATATCCTTGTCTTTTTGTTTGCACTTCCGTGTTCCCCAAAGTTTCCCCTCCGCCATCTTCATTAGTGTGGTGATATACATGAGTTTGACAAATGACATCGCTCGTCCTGCCAGACCCTTTTACATTTTGGATGTACCAACATCAGTGGAGATTTTCTGCGCCATGACTTTGTCAAAAAATAAGACGTGAGGTCAAATTAGGAGTAAAGAGCCGATGCGTTTAATTGGTTGCCTCGTTACCCTCGCTGGCTGGCTTAGGAATAGACCTCTCAGCTTCCTTCTCACCATCTTTGCTCGATGATGCTTCTTGGGGTATGGGGTCGTCTCTCACTAAGTTCTTAGTCTCCTGGTTGGCACCCTCGACGTCGGGATGAGGCGGCGCAACGCCTGCGGCGGCCAGCTCTTCTACCGGCACTTCGACTTCGTTGCCGTTGGCGTCAACCACACGTGTTCTTGTTTCGTACTTGGTCTTGAATTCGACTTTGCCTTCGAGTGCCTTCACTTGCTCTTCGTTGAGGAGGTTGCCATCTTGGTCCCGATACTCGACTCGCTCCTCGCGACTGACCACTTTTTGGCCCTGGGGTTCGAACTTGGGGGCCCCTGAGATACCGGCATTTGCGGCGTCTTGCTTGTTATCAGCTACGGGCTGGGCCTGTGCCTGATTTTTGTTGTCTACGGGGGGCTGAGAGGTTTGGGCGACTGGAACTGAAAGTCCTGAGTAGGCTTCGTACTATACAAGAGATATGAATTAGTCTACCGTCTAATTGACAATTTGTAACTCCTCATATATGCATTTCATATTTGTATCCAAAATCCAAACAGAAAAGGGAACATAATATCCAACTTTAAACTCGCTCTCTTGACGGTATACCGTGGGGAGGGATACTTACGCTCTCTAAGAAAGTGTTGCAGTCCCAATCCCAAGTGTTGAACAGCTTGACACGATTGCACTCAGCCTTTGTCCAGGCATTTCCATACGCGAGGGGCGAATATAGGGCGAAGACGATTGCAGCAAGAGCTAACAGTGCGACTACGCTGGCCTTGTTGATCATGGAGTTTCCCCTGACGCTTGCAAACCGAGCGGTTACGAAGTCGATAAATTGAGAAAATGCTAGGACGGCGAAGACCAAGGCAGGGAAGTAGTGGTGTAGGAAAAGCTGACGTCCCATCAAGAAGAAGGGGAAGTAGTGGAAAGCCCAGCCAAGCACCCAGGTTCCGATCTCGTAATCGAATCGCTTGAAGGTGGGATTCTCGTAGTCGTTGCAGCTGCGTTGCCATCGAAGGACCGCAATACCCTTGAAGATCACATAAATAACGACAGCAAGAGTTGAGGTATACCACACGATAGGGTTGCCCATGAGGTAGATCTGGCGGTGGTTTTTACCCCAGAAGTTGATACCACGACGGAGGATTGGCCAAGATTCAGGACGAGAATCCCAGGCGTGAGACTCAACCAAACCTGCGTTAGTCTTCCACATAACCTTCTGTAGCTCCCAGAACTTGCCGAGGAAGCCGGGGTTGACGTAGTTGACTTTCTCAGCATCGCTATCTAATTGCGGGTGCGCATTGGACTCGATGTACCATAAGCTGTTAGGAAGAGTACCACCTTTGGCACAAGTAACTTCTTGCTGCTCAGACGCCCAATCCGGTAACTTCACCTTGTGAGAGAAGAGAACGCAACCAGTCATAACATGAACGAGCCTGAACTTGGTTTGGATGGTCCGGA